CTTACTTGTTTAGGAGTTTGGTTTAGTTTGATTATTCTGTGTTCTTTGATTAGATCAGTCTTGATCTGTCTTACTTCAGTTAAGTTCTTGTTAGTGATTCTATGTTTATTTCTGGTTTCTAGTTATTCTTTAGTGCTAGATTTATTCCCCAATCCCTGTGTACTCTCCATCACCCTCTGTGCCACTTTCTCTCTCTCTCTCCTCAGTCTGCCTCATGCTTTCCCCTCATACTTGCAACCTGTTAGCTCATCAGCCTATTTCTTTTGTTCATAATTCAACCTCTCCAACATTTAAGCACCTTTTCTTCAGGCACTCCTTGCCAGTTCCTCTCGTCTACTCCCATCCCCATTCTCCACAGTGTTATCCTTGTGTCTCCCTGCTGGCTTCTTTTACATATCCTACATGAATCTGCTGGCTAAGAATAAGTGTAAATACAGTAAGTTTGTTATTTACGTTGGCAGTAATGACACCCAGTTACGCCAATGGAAGGTTGAAGGTTAATGTAGCTTTGGTATGCAAGTTTGCCAAAACAATGTCAGACAGCATAATTTTTCTAATGTATAACTGCAGCGTAGTACGAGTTGGTGTTGGTTTTCAGTTATCCAGGTATTTCCTAAATGCTTCAGATTTAACAGTTTGGAACACTGTATAGTAAATGTGTACAAACAGATTTTACTCAGAGATAATTGGCTGCTTCCAGTAAGGAAATGTTTACCTGAAAGCAGTGAGGTATTCCACATCACCCATAGGAGGCTCTACTCCTCCAGTCCATGCTATATTTACATTTAAGCCAACTCCTGCGCCTGAGCCCACCTACACAGAGCAAGCAGAGATACATTTAAAAGACAGCAGTTTTATGTCGATTATTTTTGACAGTTATAGTTTTGAATAAAAATTGCTGCTTTTGTTACACTGAGTAATTGAAAGCAGTGGTACATTTGATAAATGGTAAATGGATGATCCATGGGTATTAAACCAAATTCAAATAAAATGTAACAAAAGTCTTGACTGGGTTACAAAGACTAAACAATTGAATGAATACATACCTCCTCTGGTGCTCCACTGCCAGGAAAGAAGTTTCCATCATCGTACCGATGCAGAGATATGTAGAGCACATTGGGATCGTTGTAGAAGGCCTGCTGGGTACCGTTGCCATGGTGAATGTCCTGCAGTTCACAGTAAAGTCAGAGGCAAGGTCAGTGAGATGCTTGGATACTATAAACACAGTTGAATAGCTCAATGTTTTATCACCTGCTATGTCTGACACATTATAACATGAGACAGTTATAATGTGATAGACAACATGACTCCATGTCAAAGCCAAGAGTTTGGCTGCATCAAAAGTTTCACATTGTCTCCTCAAACCAGAGCACCATGTTGAATGTGGCCCCCACATAGTGGTCAGTTGTAAAGTAGTGCCTTGCATTACATTTTGCAAGGCTCTATATCTTTGCAGATATAGTGCCTTGCAAAGCTTTAACCCCAGTAAAGAACTGATTTAAAATAAACTAAACAAAAGGAGTGATGTAGACCACAGACAGCATGAAAAAGAATATTTAGAATATTTAGTTTGTACAAAACAAAGTGGTTTATTGATCTCAATGATATGCAGGGATAATCTGAACCTTGTGAGAGTAGACAATTTTGGTCTTGCAAATGCAAAGCATTTAGCATGGAGGAGAGGGTATTTTTGTTCTGTAAAAACTAGAGATGTGCCGATCAGGTTTTTTCCTCCCGATACCGATCACCCATGAGTGCCGATCACCGATACGGATCACATAATTTTTTATTTTTTTTTTTATCATAAACACTACCGGTTACATTATGTGGAAAAAGGAACCAT